ATCTGAAAACACCAGATGAAAATAGTATTTTACAGAATAAAAAAAAAAAAAAAAAAAGAAACTGATCAGCCAGATGACTATGACTTTTTGTTGCCAAGGCTAACTACTTCAGTGGAAGGATAAACAAACAGCACTCTTGTCTTCCGAATTCTGCTTCACCAAACATACTGTTGACCTGGTAAGGAAGCCACATGTTAGCTCAGAGCTCAGGAAACCATCCTACCTCACCCTCGAGCAGATAACAGTATCCTAGGAGGGATCAAGGAGGGTCTTCAGAAAGATAATTCCCAAGAAGAGAATGGAACTGCCAAAAGCTGTAAGCTTTCATGCGACACAGCCAAGGCTCACCTCGGTCTCAAGGACATGACAGAAAATGGAAAAGGAAAAAGTAGTGAATGAAGCAGGAAATGTAAAGAAAACTGACCCCTATGGATTCAGCTTCAGGGAGAGCGTAAATAAAACAATGGCTGGAAACCTATCATCTCTGGAGTCATTCCCACTGCACTGGCTAGAGTGGCTCCTTTGTAAGCAAAAAGGGAGAAAATACCCTTAAAAATCACCAGGATAATTAACAGCTTGGATTTCCTGTCAAGATAGTAAACTAGCATAAATAAAATGAGGCTGAGGCATGGGTTTGGTAACTGAAGAACAAGATTCAAAGACCTGTGGGAAAGGTATTCTGAAAGCAATTTTGAACAGGTTGAGCCTGTGGTCTCCATGGACAGGGAAGACTACGCATGCATGAGGTCACCTGAGAAGATCATTGAAAGGAAAGGACCCAAAATTTCCTGCTACCTTTGCTCTCTCTCTGTGTATGTATTTTTTCCCTCATGCTGCTGTTTCTCCCTTCTGAAGGATGCTGAGTGCAGACCCAGGATTTAAGGATAATGTCCCACTCAATTGAGTAGTTGAACTGTGTGGCCCACTTCTTCAGCTACTTATTTACCAATCATATGTGGCCCTTCGTTACTCTCAAATCCCAACCTTCACTGTCTTAGTATTCTATTGCTGTGAAGAGACCCTATGGCCAAGGCAATTTATAAAGGAAGCCATTCACTTGGGGGCTTGCTTGCAGTGTCAGAGGGTTGGTTTGTGATCGTCGTGTTTGGGGAGGGTGGTGGCAGGCAGGTAGGCACGGTTTTGGAGCAGTAGCTGAGATCTTGCATCCTGATCCTCAGGCAGCAGGCAGATAGAGAAAGACCGGGCTTGGTGTGGGTTTTTGAAACTTCAAAGTCCCCCTTAGTGACACACACCTCTCTCAACAAGGTCGCACTTCTTAATCCTTCCCAAACCGTTCTACCAATTGGGGACGAGGCATCCAAACTCCTGAGCCTTTGGAGGTCGTTCTCATTCGAACCACCACATTCCCATTCTTAGATTGCATAGTGACAGTCACAGTGTGCTTCCTCCCAGGCCTTTTCTGAATCCAAACATTTTGAATGGTAATGTAAATACCGTTTTATTTCCTTAGGTGAGGGCATGAGATGGGAGCCACTCCAAGCCTTTTTAGCCTTTTCTGAACTCTCGTTGGCTGGTTCCGCTCAGCTGTCTGGCCCAAACTCCTTGGCAAGCTGACTGATTCAAACTGGCGTTTCTTTTCTTTTTTTTTTTTTAATTTTCATTAATTACCCTTTATTCACTTTATATCCCCCCTGTAGCTCCCTCCTCCCCTCTCAATCCTACCCTCCCACCCCCTTCTCCACACATGCCCCTCCCCAAGTCTACTGATAGGGGAGGTCTTCCTCTCCTTCCTTCTGATCCTAGCCTATCAGGTCTCATCAGGAGTGGCTGCATTGTCTTCCTCTGTGGCCTGGTAAGACTGCTCCTGGCTTTTCTTAGCTTCTGACTGAATTGCTCGGCTTGGTGTCTGACTGAATTGTTCTGCCTGGCTCAAATTAATTTTGTCAATATGTTCTAATCTTCTGGCTCCTTCTATTTTACCTGGGGTATATCTTGTTCTCTCTGCAACCTATTTCTGTAAAGCTGTCTCAATAAAAAAAGCTCTCTCTGTGTTGCTCTCTTTCTGCTTCTCTGTCTCTCTCTCTCTCTCTCTCTCTCTCTGTGTGTGTGTGTGTGTGTGTGTGTGCTTCCCTTAAGTAGTGTCTCTTTCCTGTCCTGTTCTTGTGAGAGTTGGACATATCCTACCTCAGACTCATTCTGTCAGATTTTTCTCTGAGTTGTCACTTTGTCTGCCCTTCAATTAGACATCACTTTCAAACATGGCTGCTTCCTTCTATAAACTAACCTCATCTTCATCTTTTGAGGTTAAAGGTGCGTGCTAAAAATGTGTCTAAATTCCAGCCAGACCATACTATAATCCAGAGAGTGTCTGCATTCTACCTGAATCACATAGATCTAGAAGCTCTTTGAATGTGATCCCTTGCCAGAGCAGTCATGTTTAGAATTCCTCTACAGTGTAAAATTTAGAACAGGCAAATGACTGTCAGCACATCCTCACAGAGAATCAAAGTCATTCTTTAGGGCTTGGTACTCATACTCTCTTCTCACCTCTCCTCAGAATCGTACGGAAGGACTGGTCTTTCCCGAATACTATCCCAATGGGAATAAATAAATTCCCAGTAGTTAGCAAGAGGAGAAAGTAGAGAACATGTGGAAAGCACAGCTATCTCAACAAAAACGTAGCAAGCTGAATAACAATACTATGAAGTGAATTTTGAAGTTAATATAACCTTGATTATCATATTCCAGGAAATAATCAAATAAAAAAACAAAATGAAATATAGGAGAGAAATCACCAGCAGTAATATGAGGAAATGCAGTAAGATATTAATAGGAAAAAGCGAAACTTCAAGGGTGCCAGCATGTGTTATACGTACAGATTTAGAAGACAAGTCTAAAGCACTGTCCTGGAAATAAGTGCTTCCTGAAAGCACATGAAGATATAGAAAATATGAGAAAATATATACAGTAAGAACACAGGGCTGTCAATAGCTCAGCAGGCAAAGGAACTGGCCACGAAGGCTGGTGGCCTGAGTTTGATCCCTGGGACCCACTGTAGAAGGAGACAACTGACTCATGAAAGTTTTCCTTTGATCTTCACAAGTATGACATGGCTCTGGGCCCATGCCATACACATAAGCACACACTAATTATCATCATCATCATCACCATCATCAGATTACAGTACCAATGAAAGGTACCCGTGTAAAGGTAGAAGGGGAGAACCAGGTCCTGAAAGTTGTTCTCTGAGCTCCAGATATATTGCAAACACACACACACACACACACACACACACACACACACAAACACAAATGTAAGAAAGAGTAGAAACAGAAAGATCAAAATCCAGACAACAGAAAAAGAAAGGGGAGCGAAATCAGTGAGAAAAACATCATTTCAGGAGTATTGAACCGGCCTGGTATGGTGGAGAATGCCGGCAGTCCCAACATTCTAGAAGCTGATGCAGGAGGACCACAAGTTAGACTGAGAATCAGTCTCAAAATGAGGAAGTAAATGAATAACATGACAAGAAAATGAACATGACCAGATGCATTACACTAATGGCGACTTGCTGTGCATTACACATGACAGCTTTCAAAGTTACAGAGTATTTGCATCCTACAGTGAAAAGTGGGAAACTATGGTTTTCCTGAAATAAAAGGGAAACATACTAAGTGACAAGAAAAGATGGGAGGGATAAACCTTCCACAGCTTCCTGCCTGCTCTAACTAAGCTATGATAGTCATCTTCTCCTGCCTTCTAGAATTTGAGTTCTTGGTCCCCAGGCCTTTGACCTCACACCACTGACTTTCCCATCTATGCTTAAATGCTTGATGGATTTGTGAATAGTGTAATATGATTTGAAGACTATGATTCTCATCTGTCTATGCCCAGCTTCTACTGTTTGGCTTAACCATATGAAGCTGCGAAATTATTTTTTCGTTCAAAATGGCTGAAAATCAACAGTCGCATTTAATGTAAATCAATAGAAAGAGGGAAATGGGAATAATCCTGGCATGAACAGCTGCTGTTGTGGGAGACAACAGGGGATAAATCAGGTTGGACTCTACTCTTTAAAGAGTCACTGCTTATAGACTTGCAGTCACATGACTAGTTGAAGGTTAAGAAAGGTTTAAGGGTGTAGGGCATCGATTTGCTTCCTTAGAACATGAGCTGCTTCCAAGGCTGCAGAACACCTACGTCTATTCTAGGTGAGCAAGTTTTTCATTACAATGTTTAAACGAACAATCGAGTGTCTTCGTCACTAGAACACCCTTTTTGAGTTCAGAGCGTAATTGATGTAAGGTAAATTCAGAAAAAGAAATCCAATCACTCTTGAACCTCAAGACCATGAGCCGCACTGTGCATTTTTCTGGTTTCTTCCCAGTTTCTCCTGTCGTCACTGTGAACAGTGATTCTTGTGAAGTCAAAGTTTCCTCAAACTCTATCCAATGTGTTCACAGAAAACTTATTTTGAACCAAGTTAACCTGGGCTACCTCTTCTAACTGAACTTTTTGGATATATTAGTGAGCTCTTCCTCATTATCTTAGATGGCACAACTTGCCATATTAGGCATGCTTGATGGCTTTTCTTTCCACTGAGCAAATACTGTCAGTATTGACTGATGTAATGAAACAGTCATTGAGCTTCCAAAAGATGAAGCAGAAAGCGTAAAAACAAAATTGTATTTTCCATTTGTTACACTGACTATATTTTTTTCTTAAATAAATGGAAAGTCAGGAAAAATAGAACAGGCAAGAAGTAACTGGGTAATGTAGGTCAGAGAACAGAATTAAAATGGTTGGTTGAGGAGAGAAAAAAACAGGATGTGGCCTTCATGATCCTTGGTGAATTAAGCTATTTCCAGCTCATTTTGAACTTGCACGTATTAAGTGAAAATCTCTGCTCGCAGCAATAAAAAGATGCAATCTTTGTTCAAAGGGATTTGATAGCTGTAAAGGTCTGAGAATGGCAGCCCAGCCCATTTTACTTATCTTCATCGAACTGTGTGAAATCACATCTTCAGTAGGATCTTTACCTTGACAGTGAAACGTTTCCTCTTTGGTAGGCTCCATACGGTGCCAGTTGAATGGATGAACGCACGCAATGGCCTTAAGGAGGTAACCAACACATAGGCTTTAAGAATCACGGATAGCTCTTCTGCTCTGAAGATTGCTTCACGCGGAGCAAGGACGGTAGTCTGATTCCTAAATAAATAAAGAAGTAAAACAACATAGTACTGCAGTTAGAATTGAGTATGCTATGTGTGATGGACCTAAAGCTTGGTAAATTCCTCTCAACTCCCCTGGAGCCCAGCCTTAGCTGTGGGTTTCCAGAAACAATTGCGGCTGTGGATTTTTTTCTCACCACCAGGGGGTGCACGGGCACAAAGACGCACCATCAAATGGGTAGGTAGAGTTCTCTGCATTGTGAGACCTGAATCGAACAATTTTCCCCCAAAGGGAAACAGCACTTACAATTACGTTTAAAGATTTCTGAAAATTAAATTAGTCATATTGTCTGTGACCTCGGATTCATGGCACTGTTTGAGCAGAAGTGAATGCAGCTCGGGGGATGGACAGCCAACACTAACAATGGTCCAAACAGCCATATGGAAACCTATTATCTTATACATTTCATTTATGCGTACAGTTTTCACATGAGCAGGGTATGATGCTCCTCCCAGAAGCCACAGATCAGATTACAAAATAAAAAGCCCAGTGCACTGTGAGATACTTCCCTCGAGCTGCTGGTCAGGAGTGTCTAAGAGAGCTCCCAAATAACACGAACTATTGCCAGTGCTCTCTGTTACCCACCAGGACCTGATGGTAAGATTCTATTGCTGAACAGGCGACACATTTTGGTCACAGGACATGGAGACATCAAGTTGATACTAACCAGGAAGCTTCCTTCTCCACTGGCCAGCTTTTGTGGGGCTGGAAAGTGTTATATGTAGGTTCCGTGGGCAGGGGAAAGTCATCAACAATCCTACACACTAGTGAACCCTGTGACCAGGGTGGCAAAATACGCCCATAAAGAGCAATAGTGGCATGAATGATACAGGGATAGGGTTAGGGTTAGCTAGCACTTTTTGCTTGGATGCGGCGTGTTCCACGGGAGGAAACGGATTCCTCGCACTGTCAATCTGGCCAGGAATCTGCCTGGAGAGCTCACAGGCTCCAGGGTTAGACCTACTACTATTTTGTTAAATGGACATAGTATCAAACTGATCTCTAAACGCCCATACCCTTAGATTAGTGTAGTTCTCAAACACCATCAGACAAGTTTCTTTGTGCCGTGGACAGTACTTAAGATAGAAATTCATGGCTGGTCAAAGTGCAGAAGGTAAGTGTCAATGCGGTTCTTGGTTACAAACGAGACATCTATGCTATCCCTACCCCGTGGAAGAAGAGAGAGGAAGACCATAAAACTGTGCGTTCATGAACTGGCAGAAGCTGTGTTCTCTTCCCTGGACCTGCATAAGATTCAGCTGTTCAACAGTCCGACATGAATCAGGGAAGGTCTGACTATCTCCCACCCCTAGCCGAGGAGCTATTGATGGCTGATGGCTAATGAGGGAGAGAGAGTCCGTTTCCGTCGAGAGTGTGGCCCCTGATAGGTTGCTTGAGCTCCAGGGGAAAGCGCCACAGTTGTAACTGTATAGTTAGTACAAACTGAACATGTGGTTATTTAAAAAATGAAGGCATGAAAGTGTTGGGGTGGGGGCAGGGGGAGATGACTGAAAGATCTGAGAGGAGTTAGGAGGAAGAGAAGGGAGAGACTAGGATCAAAACACATTGTACGAAATTCTCAAAGAATTGATACAAATATTATACTTAAAATACCCTTCCCTGGAAATACCTTGGACAACTTCATATCCTTTCTTAGATCGTAGTTGTCATAAAAATTTAATAGCTAAGAAAAACCCATTCAGGCATACTCAAAGACTAAAGCAATGTCATGCAGGTATAAAATAGGAGTTAAATTTTTATAGTTTTACATTGTCAAGGTTCTAAATTCAATTTACATTAATGTAACTTACTAGCTAAGAGTCTAATTTACCCAAATGTTTATTCTACAGCAGCAGAAATTTGAATTAGCCTAGGAGAAAGTCAATGATGATATTCCATCTTAAGACACAAAACGGAGTGCTCTTTTGAGTGGGGCCTGGCAACTCGCCACGTTGAAACCTCCCACCCTGCCCCATCTCAACGTCCCGGCTCTCAAGTCTGCGCTCTAGGGTTTTTTGTTTGTTTGTTTGTTTCTTGCTTCCTATAGTATATGCTGGATAGAACATTCCACGTGATTATCTTACAACTGTTCGAGTCGCCAGTCCCCCGGTTTCCGTAGGTGTGGCTTCGCCGCTTCCGAGCCATGGCTGGAAGCACTCCACTGTGACCGGGTCCCCTGATCCTGGCACACAGAGGGACTCACTGGAAGTTGCAATTCTGAAAAGAGTCACAAGCAAAAGACAGTCATTCCTGATGGTTCCTGGAATTGCTTCCAGACTAGAGCTTGCTGCGTCAAAGCTACAGACAGGGTCCATCCCTCCCCGTTGTGAAGCCAGGCTGGATCTAGGAAGTAAGAATGCATGATCAGTGGAGGACTTTGTTTTGGAGGGATTCTTTGTTTTTCGTCCCCTTCCCCCTTGCCCCAACCAGAAAAACAACCATAATAACTAGTTCTCAATTTGCTTGCTCAGAAAAAAAGGTACCTTCACCTCCACTGCTAGTGATGTTCTCTCACAGAAAGGTAGCTGGAGTTGCTGGCTGTGCTCTGAACAGCACTGAGAAAATGAGCTGATTTCCATACAACCTCTTGCAGACTTAAGTTAGCTAAGCCTCATGACTTTGGAAACTTCACAGGCATCCTTAGCTATTTAAGAAAGATTTAAGTTTACGCAAAGGAAGAATAGCAATGTCTTATTTCAGAACAGTTACAGTGAAATGTTTCAAAAGTGAAAACGTTGGATTCACTTAGTAGTCCTGGATATTAGGGAAAGCTACAGAATAAAGTAAAAAAATCCTCCCCACATCAGAAGTGAATGCTTACACATCAGCTTTTGAAATGTAGAGAGACACGGGGTCCAGAAGCATTTTAAATGGATACAATTGGGATAAATACCAGTGTAACATACATACATAGGTGTTTGTTTTTTAAATTCTTCAAGAGATACACCCTAACGGTTCATGGCTAGATTATTTCTCAAGTTTATGTAGAATTGCCCCATTCACACTTGTGAGTGGCTTATAGTAGTCCATTAGGTAATATAGGATTTCTTTTCTGCTGTGCACTTGTTTCTGCACTTATGCTCCCTTTGTTATTTTCACAGCATTGTGATGAACATTCTCATGCGTCTATTTTGGTACACCTCTGCAAGTTTATCCAGTTTCTTCTAGGCAAGTAAATTTACCAGGTCAATGGATAAATGCACTGTAACTTTGTTAGACATTATCAGATTAACTTTTTTGAAATAAATTATCCCAATATTCCGATCTACACTCTATCCAAGAGTGTTTGGGAGCTGTGTTACTTCCAGGTCACAATGCTTTATTTGTAAGTCAAGCAATTTATCCAGGTCTCAAAATGGAATGAAGCCTTTAAATTATTTTCCCCTTGTGCACACTCCATCAATACTAACATAGTCTAATTTAAAACATTTCACACTCTTAAGCAGAAGTCACAGAAGCAGAGCTGTTTGATTCATTCCCATATCTTATTATTTAGCACAGTGTGACTTTGTGAAAAAAAGTGCTGATGACCTATTAGTAAGGCGTCCCGACTGATGAAGTTCCATGTATCATAACAATGGAATCGGAGTTATTCAAATTGATTTGGTTTTGAAGTTGACAAATGAAGAGCCTTAGAAGGTCATTTACAACCTTAAAATGTTTTATTACATCCTCCCTCCCATGTGTGTGTGTGTATGTTGTCTAAGGACATCTTATAAAATTAGTTCTTTTCTTCCAGCATGCATATGAGTCCCAGGGCCTGAACTCAGGTAATCGGGCTTGGAGGCCCTTTACCCCCTGAGCCATCTCACTGGCCTGAAAAAATCACAACATTGAAAAGACTGAACAAAAAAAATCTGGGCACAGGAGTCTTTTCTGAGGCTGATACTCCAACCAAGGACCATTCATGGATATAACCTAATATCCCTGTTCGGATGTAGCCCATGGCAGCTCAGTATCCAAGAGGTTTCCCTAGTAAGGGGAACAGGGACTGTCTCTGACATGAGCTGATTGGTCTGCTCTTTGATCCCATCCCCCTGAGGGTAGCAGCCTTACCAGGCCGCAGAGGAAGACAATGCAGTCAGTCCTGGTGAGACCTGATAGGTTAGGGTCAGAAGGAAGAGCAGGAGGACCTCCCCTATCAGTGGACTTGGGGAGGGGCATGAGAGGGTAAGGTTGAGAGGGGACAAAGGAGGGGGCTACAGCTGGGATACAAAGTGAATAAACTGTAATTAATAAAAAATAAATAAAATTTTAAAAAGAAAAGTCAAAAATAAAGATAAAAAGAAAAGACTGATATGGAAGCCAGGTATGCAGCCTAGTAGTAGAGCATGTATTTAACATGTATATGACCTTGGGTTCATTCCTTAGCCATGGGGGAAGAAAATCTAAAATGTTGATTAAATTCCTCAGACTTGTAAAAAGAAAAATAAATGTTCTCAATGAAAATTGCACTGAATATACTCATTTATCAAAAATTATTTACTAGGGCAAATTGCATCTCTGCAGAAGAGCTCATTTGTAGCTCTCTTTGATGGGACATGAGAAGAGTGTCATTGACTAATTTTCCCCCACCTTGCCACAAAAAGTCCAGCATTTGAAGTCTAAGCACAGTTGAGTTTGCAGAAGCAAGACAGCCTAGTTTTTCCAGGCTAATATCCCAATGGTGTTGTGAAAGGAGTGCCAGAAAGAAAAAGAGAAAGAAAAAACAAAACAGCTTTGTCTCCTTTTTCTGGTTTATTTCAAGTGTGGAAATATATACGATGCTGGAAGAGTTAACGTGAGAATTGTCAAGAATGTGTAAAGATCATTCATTGGCCCCTGAAACTACAACAAAACAACAGAACATAATAATGATTAAATAAAGCTTATAGTAATTTTTAAAATTTATACATAAGTTGATAAACTCCAGCTTCCTCTATGTTATTTCAGGCTTGCTGATGGTAATAATTTATGATTCTTAAAAAAAAAAACAAAAAAAAAACTTTTGTCATTAGTTATACCTTGATATCTAAATGGACTCTTATTTGAGTATGGAGAAAATGGGCAAAATCTTCATTAATATGTAAAAACGCTGTCATATGTCATGGGAATGTTATAAAAGGTTATGAACATAATTATCGTATGTTACATAATGGAATAGATACGTGTGGGAGGTTCCTTTCAGACTTTTTATTTGGCGAATCCACCCAAAGTTCTTTTAATAGGTCAGTCAACCTACTTCCTCTCTGTTCTACTTCCTCCCTCGGAAGGCCTAGACACATTCAGAAAGCCTACAAGTCTCCCCACAGTACAGCTGAAAGTAGCTCTGTTTTCTTGTTCTTTTGTTTGTTTGTTTGTTTATGTTTTTGTTTATGTTTTAAGGAATTTGGGAGATGAGGCTCTGTCATATGGGTAGTCTTCCAAATAATTCTCTAGTGCATTGACATCGGATGGATGAAATGTTTCAGAAACAACTAAATGTGAAATGCCTTGTGTACATCTGTGAGGTTTTTCTGCCCATACTAGATGGCGTGTATAACAGACTCAGATGTGAAATACTATCTAGTGAGCAGTGCTGGGCTTTTATTTATTGCCTACTCTCAGCTTATTTCAGAGAGCACTGAAGCCTGTAAGCTTACTAGGCACCTGGAGTAAAACTGGACCATTTGTTAGGGATGCGCCAAGACTGCCTTTTAACATATGGTGGAATATGACTGAGGTGCTGGTATATGACCAGGGAGACTGAGCCAAAGTAAGAGGTCTATCTTTGCATTTCTTTCAGATTTCTACTCCTGCCAAACAACAAAGGGCTTGTGACACGGCCAAGTAGCCTTCTAGATTCCAGAATGTAAACCCCACAAGTCTGAGTTGTCTGTACTAAAAAAAACAATGGAGTCCCATCCTGGGTGCTCCTGTCAGCAATGAAATAGTTTGGAGGAGTTTAGCCAACTTGAGGTTACAAATCAAAATGTTACCCTAATGAAGTAAAAATACTTCCTTTGGTTCGTAATTCCTCCTGTTCTCTGTAGCATGTAATTATATACAGCTCAGGTAAAGACTAAACACTGAAAACATGTGTACTGGGAAAGATTAGCTGCCAATTTTCTGGTGTATTTGATTTAATGTTTTGCCCCATGGCTAGTAATTAATATGAAAGTAATAGCAAAAGTATAATTATGTTTCGCAAACATTTGGATGTTGTCTTGCATTTCTTATTAAGAAAATAAATATAGTGTTTTGTATTTTACATTTCCAGTAAAGATAAAACTCCTTGATTGGTAATTAATAATAATTTGAGATTAAAAGTATAAATAAGTATAGCTATAAGAATACTAATTGCTGCTCCTGCTTGCGGGCATTGACAAATCTTAATGCTTGACTAGCAGGTATAAAACCTATGAAAATATAACCTCAAAATTCAAATGCATCACAAACATGACTTTAAAAACACGCAAGTTGAAGTCATATCCAGATATAACTTCTATTGTTATCACAAGCAAAGACTACAGATAGAGGGGCACACATATTTCCAAGGCAAGGAAGATAGGGAATAAATGACCCACAGTTTTCTCCTCCTGAGTCCAAGCTCTGGCTCGGACCCAAGGCCAAGTAAACCACATTGATGTAGGCTGTGAAAGGCAGCCATCTGGAGAAAGGCATAGAGTGAACTTTATAGATGGAGGTGATCCAACACAAATACCACACTTGGAAAAGGGGAGCTGGGTCCCCAGCTCACCTAGCCATATGTACATGAGTTCACGTGTAGGGGAAGAACGAAAGAGAAGTAATGTTACCTTGACCTCCAACAAGAGTATTTACATAGGGCATCAGAATGTGGCTTAGACTGAGCCATATTAAATTGCCTTTTGTTAGGGAAAAACAGTAGACTATTGATTGATCAAATATCAGCAAGTGCAGAATGGTCAGCACAATGTTTCTTCCCCTACATTGTAGGACCTTCTGGAGAACAAGAATGGAAAATGTATAATCCGTTAAGATTGAATGCATGGGCACAGGAGCATTATGGAAGAGTGGACAGAAAGATGCTAAGAGTCAGAGGTCAAAGAACAGCTGGGGGAAACAGTGTCTTCTGTCATGAGTACCATGACAGGCTCATAAACTCACAGAAGCTGTGATAGTCTGCCCAAGACTTGTGCAATTTCAAGTCAGTCGACATTCCAACAAGAATGCAGGAGGGCCTCAGGAGCTGCTACCTCTAGCTGAACAGCAATTGA